CTAGACTTTACTTTGAAATTTGCATTTCTTTGAAGGAACAAATTATTTTTGTCTCTAGTTTGAAAGATTATGGAGGTCCATTGAGGTTTAAGAAACTGATTCTCATTGTTCGATTTTGCTTGTTATTTTTATAGCTTTATTTCTTTCTCACATGTAACGCAAAGTGAATCGTGTATGGTTTAAGTGTCTTGGAAACTCACTCATCCTTGGTACTCTCTTGAAAGATACAATGAGTGCTCTCTGTGAAATCTATATATAATTCTAAATACAATGTTGTGATGAAGCCTCACTACCTGAAGCCATGGCGAAGAAAAATCTACCCGATTCCCCCGAGTTGTACCTCAAACAAAAGCTAAACTTGAAACCACCGTTCGCTTAATAAAATGTCACTTTGATTCTTACATTAAACAGGCGACTATTTACAAAAGAGAAATTGAGCATAGAAAGGAAGCGGAGTTGCGTTCTCACTCTCAGTTCACTCTTATGAGGGTGACTTATTGAAAACGATTTGAACTTTCGAAGGATTGGTTTAAGCCGTTACATAAAAATTCGTTGTATGGCGTATTTACATAATTCAATTTGTGTTGTAGCGACGAATTTACTAACCACACAAACTGTCTTATCGGCTATTGTGTGACTTTACCTGCGCGAGGAAAGAGGTAAGCAGTCCATGGTCGCCGTGGCTGCCAGATATTTGGACGAGGGAAACGTTTTTGATCCACTGATGATCATAGCTGGGCAAAACATATCTTGGTCACATATTATGAACGTTTTCATAGTCAGTGTTTCCCCAGAGCGTCATAAAGAATTGTATTCAATTCGCCTTTGCCCCGCTTCGGGACGGATTTTGCTTAATTTCGTTGTATGGTTGTTTTCTTTTCACTAGTAACATCGGATGCTAAGTAAAGGGCAAAGATGGGAAATGATTTGCGTCGGTTCGTTGTATTTATATAGTTTTTTTCAAGTACCTGATGTGATACGCCTTATATTAGACTCATAGTCATTTCTCTGTGACAAATATCTTTAAAAGAAGTAGTTATAGCAGCATTTGTCGCAATCACCAAGTCATTATGTCGGTTTTATTGGTTATGGAACGGTGAGTTAAAGAGCTACAAATACTGCAAAATTACTTTCACGCTGAAAGATTATAGACATTATCCTTTTAGATCAAATGATGGAGAAAATTTTGGATTTTACGACGGAATAAAAATCATGAGCTTTATCTGCGCCACAATCAACTGCAGTATTGGTCACCTTATTTATTACATCCCAGAAACGAATTAACACTACCCACCATTAAAACATTAATATTCTCCAGCGTGTAATCTATTTATTCAGCGAGTATAAAGCGTTTTTTCACGGAGGATACTGCTTCTTGGTGCACAAGAACGTTTGTAATATAAACAGAACTCGATTTTAGCGTGGACCGAGACTACTTTGATTTAAGAAACCAGAAAAGAGTGAATAAGCCACCAAACTTTCGGTATTATTCATACCAGGCCAATATCGTTAAATAGTATTTGAGTGAAATAGAGATTTTATACCCTGTAGAGCGAAAACGTCCCTCAGATACACAGCATTCGTTTGGTTTTTAAGAGTAAATGACCAGAAAATCACTAGTCCCACTGGCGGAGCCGCCACGCGCTAGCTATACGTACACAGGGTGACCAGTACAACGCAGGCCATACGCTGGAATACGCCAGAAGCATTTTGATCGATTATCACAAGAAAGCCACTCTCCGTTTCTCATTTTTAACCTCGAAAAGTTAGCGGTGGCCCGATTTTTATAAATTGCGTGATATCCCTAATAAAGAGATGATAAACTGTTAATAATCTGTTACCCTTATGCGTGAAAACGTCATTTGCTGAAATTATTGTTTTCTCTCTTAAACTCCGTTTACTCTACATTTTTCTCGACTAATTGCAATCCTCTCGCTGTTTTGACGGGTTGGGAGTATCATTTTGTCGTCATCGGTTTGGAAGTGCTTTCATTTATAGACCTCGAAAAGCTAGAGGTAGTCTTACTTTTTCACAATGTGTAGTGGTTCTAATGTAAAGGTAAAAGAATACAGTCTGTACTCGAGCCTATTGGCCCACCCAACCGGAGCTTACCTCGATTTTTTTATGTAGCTATAACGACTAGTAGTATTACTACTTCCCCCTGGATGGGATGCTAGTTTATCGCACCCCCCCCCCCCGACATTTCTCAGGCTTCCCTAGCAATTTGTCGTTACCCACGTATACTCCTGAAGGGGGGGAGAGGCACTGTGAGAATAAAGCGTCTTGTCAAAGAACACAACGTATCGTTTAAGCTACATTTTTCTTACCACCCTCATTTTACTTTCATGGAATTTGTTCAGTGCTTTAAAAGTGCCTTCGAGTTAAGATTTACTTGTTGCCACACCTTAAAACGGCATAGTGTACCTCCAACATTGCTTACAATCCCCATAGGCGATGAATCTACAGTCCCATAAACACTTTGTGGGACACTTGCAGCACCCACCCTGCCCTTCGCATGCAACGTTGGTTTCCTAGAAAACATGCCCAAATCGCAATTGACAAATCCTAAAGAGGGAAGAGGAGCAAGAAAATACCTCAAGTGGTGTTTTAATCAAGTGTTCCATCTCATCATTCCGAAAGTGTGGTAAGGCAGGGCGAGGAGCAGGAATCAAAGTGAAATATCTCATTTGCTTTACAAGACCAAACAAAGGAGGACTGTAGACATGTTGCTCTGCTTGCTAGTTGATAGAGAGACAAGGTTTTTCCACCATTGAGTCTCACATTTGTGTTTGATTAGAATATAGTAGTATTCCAGAATGAATTACTTTCGCAGAGTAATACCGCGTCTCTAGACTTTCCATTTTCGGACATCAAAGAAGTATCCAGAAATTGCCAATTCTGGGTCAAAATGTGCGCTCGCGTGAACATCTCATGGGGTGTCTTTGCTTTTCCCAACCCATTAGTGCAAAACTCGAGATACACTTTAAAATATCTTCAGAAGGCCAAAATACGTTGATTCCAACCGTCTGTAACTTAAGGTAACTTTAAGGAGATGTATGTACCAGACCCCATACATCTTTTTTATCTTCACCATCAAAAACCATATAAAGATACATATACTCTTTAGCTGTTTTGGGATTCAAATGAGTAACTGCTCTTCCGAAAATTGTCTAAAATATGCTTCAAATTTGGTAAAAGGAGCCGCCATTTTGAAAAAGCAGCTTAGTAGCCTGGCCACACGCGCACGACGTCTTGAAAAATCAACCCACACACAGTTGTCGAACAGTGCGTATGCACGAGAGTTTAAAATTACGAACGCGTCTCTAGCTTAAAGTGAGAAAGAAAAGTTAAATTCCTAACTATTCCGAGGCGAAAGACAAGTGAAAGAACGTTTAACACCGAACCTTTTTCCTACCTTTGCTGCGCAGTCTACTGTCCGCTGTAAACATAGACCTGCTATCGTCAAAAATTTCTTGTAAGGCTCTGGTTTTTCCTTTTTCAACGCATTTCCCTCGGTGTTTATTGGTAACTCCACCATAAACACAACAACGAATAACTACTGTCAGCACGGCAAAGCTTACGGACGACGTCATCTCGCCGCCGTGAAAAGCGTGAAAAAAGCACGAGAATTTAAACTGGCACAAAGTAGGTCGAGTTTGGAAAAACAATGTGTATAGGTCTCGGTCTTAGAAACTTCGAACTTTCCTTAGAAACTGCGAAAAACTTCATCTTACTTAGATTTCCCATGTTTACGATAGCAAATTATTTGCCAAAGTGTGCGGTTTACCCATAGCTGTCTCCTTGTTTTTATTTAGCTCAGCCTTTGGTTCGAATCAAGAAAGAGTGCGGAGCCTTCTAAGCTTACGTCTGTTTACGTAAGAGGTATGGGGCTAGGTTGCAAAGCATTTTTGAAAATGGCGGCGTCCGTATTCGGATTTCAAGCTCATCTGAACTCGTGTTTTAAAAGGTTTGGTCACTCTTTGGAATATCAAAACACGGTCAGAGTTTGAACTTAACAAACACCTTTTTTTGGCAGATATGAAAATTTATATGATTTCTGAAGTATGTTTCTTTTCTCAAAGGAATCATTTCTGGGATGGCAGCCTGCCGTACACGTGGGATTCAGTTTCTTAGTTTTAACCTTTCTTGATAAAAAAGAATCAAAAGAGCCTCTCTTGGAAGAATAGAGTGGGGCTGGGAGGTGTGAAATTCTAAATTAGCTGTCGACGGCCCCTATAATAAGGGAGGAGCAGAGCTTTTAAAATTCTTCCACTAAGATTTCGTAAATCTCTAAGTTTTTTGAAGTACAAAAGACAACCAACTTGTTATGATTGGCTGAAAGGACTGAGCGAAGAAATTGGACCAGCACTCCTCAAGTGGGTTGAGTAGCTAGCAATTTTAGTGGGTGAGAAGAATGGGGAGAGACTAAGTGAGGGAAAGCAAGTGATGAACAGGCCTCTTGACTGACAGGGGCTAATGAACAGGAATTATTTTTGACCAATTCTCCAATTTTTTTTTCACATGTCTTTTATATAATCGAACTTAAAACTGGATAAGGTACGTTAGTTGTGCGAGACAGTCTGACATGAATACCTTTTTCCTGAAAAAGTCAGTTAGACGATTATTAGGGTGAACACACATTTCGAGAATGTGATATGAGGGAACAAACGAAAGCAATACCTTGGGAGATGACCTTGATTTTAGAGTAACTTTATTCCTTACAAAGGTTTAGCTCAGATTTCGCACAACAAATAAATAATGATCTCCATTTGACGCCAAAATATCCTCGTATATTTGTTTATGCGCATTATGTCTTCCAGGAGCGAAAAATATTGGTCAATTTTCTGGCCAAAAGGAGGCTTTTAAAATTTATTTCTTTACCCATAAGTACACTCAAAGAAAACGTTTATTTTTATTTTTTGTTTCTACTTTTCTAAGTGTTCTCTGGTGCGACTTTATCATCAAGCAGGTTCATCTCTCAACAATAAAATGTACTCCCCTTTTCCATTTAGTTTTTAATGACAGCTTCCGTGGTGGTTAATCTAACAATTTGGGTATACCGATCGCCTGGGAAATCTTCTCTTTTAACTGAAGATCACCCAGTTACATGAACTGACGCCCTAAGACCAAACACGCGCGGGCGAATGGTAATCGGGGATATATCCCACAAGGGTGTGAGAAAGGTTCCTTTTTACATAGAGAGTTGATCTTCTACCTGAATTTAAACAAAATCTTTAGTATTTCTAGTAAGCTCGGTTCTTCTGCTCTCTCTGGTCTGGGTTTTGTTCCTTTCCGAAAAGAAAAAAAAAAAACAGTGCTGGCTCATTTCCTGAACAGCGGCTGACTCTCAAGGTTATGTGGTTGTAAGTGAATGGAAATTATTGAGGTTTCTTCTTACAACTATGAGCGTGTGTGTCGTTCTTCTACAGCTAACGAGGACCATTCAGTCTGGGAAATATTTGTACACTAAAGCAAACACTAGAAAGTTAACTGGTGTTCTTTGTTTATTATCCATTTCTTTGTCGCGTCCACTGTCTCCTCTCTACAAGTCCTTGTTACGCGAAAAACAGCGACGTAAAACTGTGCGGGGAAAGATCCCGAAAGTACTTTAGTCTCCGAGAAAATCCTTCCGTCTTCTGTCTTATGGGAGAGGTTCCGAGGGTTTTGTACAAGAATCATATCCTTTGCCTATTTTCCACTGGCATTGACCATGTTTATTGACGCATGTGTTGTGCATTGCTCCACAATCCCTTCTTGGTTGCCTAAAGTTTTGCAATTCCCAGTTACACCGCAACTGAGACTCAGGCATAGATGCACAAAGACCAGGAATGCAAAACTGGATCATGCACTCGCAGTTTTCCGCATAGACCTTACTCAGACCGTGAATTTGATCTCTGGACAGGTCACGCCATTTTTGCATCCAGCAGCCTCGCGATGGGAGAACCAATTCATTACCCATGATTCTACCAGAAAGCATGTAAGCATCACCCGGTACCAGGTCCTGACCGTGATGACTGGAGAAGTAAATCCTTGCAAACAATCGAGATGGATTGGCGGCATCAACAAAAGTTCTTTTGGTTCTCCGCACTCTGTCTTCACCCTTGAAGATTTTCTTTATTAGAACATCATAGTACATCATTCCCTTGTCGCGGCCTTTTCCGCCTATTGGACGGTACCGCATTTCTCCTCCAGGAGGTGGGGCACCTCGTATTCCGATACTTCGCTTGTGCCGGCCAAAGATGAAACCTAGAAGCGACCCAACATCGCTGTTATTGCTCTGTGGCGGTAAATCACCAATTTTCTGAACCCTCGGAGGGGAAGCAGTCTTCGTTTCTGGGGCGTCTGTGTCCGCTACAAGCGTCTCAGTCGTGGGAGGAAGCGTAAACTTATCACCCGCTGAAGCTTGCGTTGTGGGTACCTCGTCGTCCCTTTTGATCATTCCCAGCACTTTCACTCGAACGACTGTAAAAAGAAATTATGCATAGTTGACTAAAAGTGTTTTACAGAGGGTTTGGATTGTTTTCTGATCGCAAGAGAGATCATGAATTAGCGAGCTGATAAGCGGTTGTATCACTCGAACCAGAAGCTGCATATAAGAAAAATCCGCATAAGACGCTCCTGTGAGGAACGTATAAGGAAATTTGTCAGTCATTAGAAAAAAGCTTGTTGTCAGGCAGATACCTTATTGAGTATTGATTATTTAATCCTCTTTATATTAACATAACAAATATGAATTTGATCCTGTCTCATTATATAAATCATTGGTTATAATTTTAAAACAGATCTTAACTAAGAGCTAATGAGCACTTTTCAAAGACCTCTCCGATTTTTTTTTGACAAGCACTATTCGATTCTCTAGTTGCCATTTTTCGTGATATGAAAATTTGCGATCGAAGATGCTTTTAAGATGAAAGAGGTTTCTTTCGTTTTACCCAGTCAGAGCCGCGTTCAACCTTTCACATACCTCGAGCTTATTCGGGGTCACCTAATGAAGTTAATGAGGTTTCTAATTTTGGTTTCTGAATTCACCGAAATCTTTTTTTTTCTTTTTTTTCTCATGTTAAGGTTTGACGCAATCCTTTCCTGTTTTCAAAGGATATTCTAGTTACACTGACTGCTTTGTTATCTTTCCACATTAATGTCCGTCTACCATAGGGCTGGTCACAAAGAGGTTGATGTTTAAAACCTCTCCCATCCCTACCCTACCTCTCTAGATCATACTTCCTCTCCCTCCCCCTCCCCCTCCCCCATTGGATTGAAATCGTCTCCTCTCTCAAAGTCTTGTCAAAGTATGACTAATCTCAAGGCATTGTACTGAAAAGGAAGTAATTACTACAGAAACAGGAAAATTGCCATTTTCATGTTTTCACGAGGACAACAAAATGGAATTCACTGGCGTGATGGAATGCATGTAAAAAGTAAACAACAAAGATAGCATCGATTTTCGTTTCTAAAAGAAGTGTTATGAATGGAATCTTTTGGGAGAAGACGTGATCAGAAAACCTTTGACCCGAGACGATTTGGATTTCTTCGTAAACACCCGTTGCGCGTAGTAGACTTAATCAGTTTAGCACAATAATAATTGTTGACTAAAATTTTGATTTACAATCTTGAAATCGTGAATCACATCGAAAGTGTTTCAAAGGTACTTAAATTGCAGGCTGAGAGGGTCGAGAGGCAAAACCGTGGGAGTTTAATACGACCAACAGGAAAATGAAGCTCAACCAACAGGAAAAGCGAAAGTATCGTTCAAACGCACGCCCATGAGAAAACCTTTAGTGCTTAAACTGTAGGAAGAACCATCCTTAGCCATGAAAATCTCCACACATAATGCAATAACATGCTGAAGCAGACAGATGAAGTGTTAAAGACAGCTAAGAATATGCATAGCGGAAACTACGTGCGCTCATGAGTTGAAATCCGCGAAACGCTCTTTCATAAAAGAACGGTGACAAAGGGTTTCTCTGTCTCGACATCCTTCTCCATAAGATAGTTTGCTTTGTTAATCCGGTTAGGATTAATAGTCCTCGCGCTAATACCGAACCAATAGTCGATTTTAATACTTGTAAGAGTGCGCTGTAGTGCGGATACTGAGTCAATCTTCGAGAATCTTCCTCAGAAATATCGATGTTGATGTTACAATTTTAAATCAACAAGCGAAATATTGCCATTGGTTCTGCAAAAATATTCCTTTTTATGTTACTTCGTGGCATAAATCATGAAATTACTCAAGATACGATTGAGCTTTCTAAAGTGACCGTATATTATATAAAAACAATAGCTCACCAAAATCCGCCCTGCAAAAGGATGTCTGTGGATGCTCCGGCATAAATGCTCCCTGAACAAAACATTGAGACATACACAAAAGTGTAAAGGCTAGTAAACTAGATACAATGACAATTTTCATCTTCAAAGCTTCCACGTTGATCTTTGCTTGGTAGTTAGCGCTCTTCTGTTGTGTCTATGAGGGGGTAATCTTATTTATAAGACTGCGTTGACATGGGCGTCCATACCCACGTATTTCCGGTGGCAGCCCGCGTGACTCGTCCACCGTGTGTGTGGCATGTTGTGCGCCTAGAAGTGAGATAAACTTCACATCTGTTCCGAAACGTTACACTCTGGAAGTTTTCAAACCCTAATTTAGAAGATATAATGTTACAGAGTAGGCGGCATGGTGATGAATATATTTTCCCCAACGGTGCAATTCTCACTGAATTCGCGTTTACTTTTAGAACAATAACACAAACGTCAATTTTTTTCATTTGCAATGCGTTTATTTCTTCTAAGAGGGAACGTGAGGCTTTTTTATTTCTCTTTTACTTACGCAAAGCAGTCACCTTTTGATTTTTCCATTGTAGTCGTTCTTCTTCGAGTTGTTTTTTCGATTAGGGAAACGAAAAGTGCCGTTGACCGCAAACAGGAAAAAGAAAAGAAACAGCTGGCTGCCTTCGTGATATAAAGTTTCAGAAAAAAATTAGATATAGATATATAGAATTATTTAGTCTATGGCGGTTTCATGAAAAGCTGTTGACATCAAGTATGTTGATGAGGTCACGCTCGACTGACGTTGGAGAGATGAAATGCAACTACATTACGCAACAGATTTGTTACGCTGAATTGATTAAATTCTTTCAGACCATTTCTGGCGTATTCTGTGCTCCCAGATGAGGTCCCACTTGAGTTTGAGCTACTTTATTACTCAGGAATTATCTAATTTGTCTGAACTGGATGCAATCTAAGAATTCCAGTTCCTTTGGTTAACCTTGGACGTGTTGGATCTCCAAGAATCACGCTCAATAACGGTGCGTGGGGGTCTTTACATCACTTCCAAAATAAAGCTTACACATGATAGGATTAATTAAGAAGCTCTCCATAGCTTCCATGCGATGAAGTGACTGCCTAGAAGAGTGCTACAGATACAAGAGGCTCAGGGATTTTATAAAAGAGGAAAAATTATTGAACAAAAGAATAGAGAATAACTTAATTTTATTCATCGCGAGGGTTCGATGCTCGGTGGTGAGATTTTTCTGGGGGAAGTATTCCGCCATCTAGGGAACGTTGGTATGTTCCGTCTCAAAAGGAAAGGCCAGCTTCTGGGCCGTTTTGGTCAGAAAACGGATGTGTATTTTGGTCTCAAACCGGGAGAGAAAAAAAGAGGAAAAAACAGAGGAAAATAAAGAATATATCACTAAAGCTTAATTCTCTTCACTTCGGCAAAGATGCGAATCTTAATCAAGCCACAACAAAGTGTTTTTAATTTTCATAGCAAATACAGTTTTTACAAGCCGAGGGTTAAAAAACCTTCTTGAATTTAGGGGCTTTTTCTGAAAACGTACGTGTTAAATGGCACGTTTACATCTGAAAGAGCATCACATCCTGATTTGGGGAACCGGAGCACCCTCCCCCCTCCCCCCTTGGAATTATAAGTCATCGGAGCAAGGTTCTGTACATTCCCTAAAACCAAGGTTTGAAGTTCTTTTAGCAGACGCGACTGATATGTCATTCATGGCTTAAATGAGAGAGCAGGATACGGAAATTAAATTATCTTAGTCTGGAATGGGGTTAGGCGTCTCAAGAAGCAAGCCATACGTTCTCTCACATGATTTTCTACAGGGTTCTCTTTGAAATTTTACACAACGAAATTCAATAGGAACAACAAATATAAAAGTTCTAAAAACATCTTGTTGCGTCTAATTAACACCTACCCAAGAAGTTTGATTCACACTTGTGCACTTGAGAGCCCACAATATCACGAAATAAAAAACAATACCAAAGCCGGCTGCTGGCGGATCATATTCTCCCACGGTTCAGTTCTGTATAATTCCAAATATGGAATGGCAACTTCCTTTAACTCTCCATCGAAATATAATGTTTATGAATTGAATTTCCGTTCATAAAGAACATAACAGGTTCTATGACGGTGTCGGTTCATATTAAAACATGAATAATATGGCAAACATTGGGTGTTTCCACGCACTCAATCACATCCGTATTTAATAAAACCAAAATACTTAAAAGTTTAAAAATATCCACCCCTCGTGCTTGCTCTGAAGAATGTCCTCTTGTAACCTTCACTGAAGCATCAGGTTAAATCCGGTTCTATCGGTTATTTTCCACCATTTTGATCGCCATTTTCTTCTGTAAACTGTTGATGAATAAGTTAGGATTGTTGCGACTTCTTTCAAAATTTTGAGTTGAAAAAATTTAGCGCACGACAAGCAATATTGAGCAAAAGAGAGCGAAAGCGGCGGAAAGAGATAACTCAAAGGATTTTTTTCTCTCTCTTCCGCTGAAAAAGCTGTCGCAGTGATGATGGCTCGGTTTTCTGGAAGCTAACATAAATGTGATAATGCCTTACAAGGTAACAGTGTCTCTCCACAGGAACCCGTCATCTTAGATAGGTTGCAGAACTGATTTATCGCCGTTTTCAAAGAATGAGAATGCAACTTAAATAAACTCACCGAAATTGTTGTACTGTTTATATTGGTTTGAGAGTCAAACCAGTGACTGCCAACCTCTTCTGTGGTGTTTTGAAATTTTGGTAATGGACATTTACAAGGTGAAAACCATTTTTATTTGTGCTCAAGCTGAGGGCCAGCCTTGAGCAAGTTACCAAACATTTTGCTGAGTAAAAAAAGATATTCTTCGTTCTCGCGTAAACTGAGCTGTCAGTGATGAGTCATTTTGACCGGCAGTAGAGACCCGCTTTAGTGGTCGTTGTCGTTTTGAAGTACGACTTAATAAGAGGATCTTTCCGCGAATAGTCGGTGCCTCTCTCAGTCACTAGCTGCACAGAAGACAATCGGGAATTTTATTTCAAAGGATTCGGGTTTAAGTGCCGCAAATTGGGTGCCAGTCGTGAAAATGTTACGGGAAGCGTTTCTTCCCTTTGTAAGAAAAGGTGACTCTATTTGTGTTCTCTGATTGGAAGACAATTTCATCATCTTACTTCACGTGATACTCAAAGCTGAATTTTATATTTATAAGTGTAAATTGAGCCTTACTAATTAAATTTAGGTGTTGTTATGAGGCCAAAGGCAATGGCCATATGTCAAGTGGTGAAGAAGTTTTTATGGTAGAATCTTTTTTGGCGGTTGTCTGCCGTAAGTTTGTGTATCGAAAATTTCAACACTTGGTGGTCATATGATAAGATGCTTACTAACTGAGTTGGGTCGGTTCCTGGCGCACAGAATGAAAACTGCAATTTAATGTACATATTTTTCACCGATTCTCCGAGGCAACAATTACAAACCACGAATATTGTGCATTTTACCTTACCTAACTCAATCACTCGTTAAAAAGAAGGCGTCTTGACCCGGTCTGTGACAACGTCTCTAAGAGAGCAACTAACTTCATACTGTTTGTGTAAGTGTAGTTCCAAATGAAGTTGCATTGGTAGTTTTTAGCTGAGTTAGCATTTTCTGATTCACGCAAAATGGCCAAAAAGGATCATGAAATTTCCTGAGGTTCGCAGCTCGTTCAACGTGCCAAACTGGCCACTCAAACAAATAACAATTAGGAGAGGATTGGTCATTTAAATGACCTTTTCCGATCTCAAGACGAACAACTCGAAGATCGCCGACAGCTTCTTCGGCGTCGGCGTCGTGAACTCAGAGCCATTACTATTCCACAAAAGAATATAAACTGTCTTTATTCTGTTATAGTGATACAATTACAAAATTTACTTCCTTTAATTTTATATTTTTTGGCTCATACTGTATTGTGTTCTATAATCTCACAAGTTTTTCTTTTCGATTTTTTAAGGTCTTTTTCTGTATACCACCAACTGATAAGCAGACAACCATAAAATTCATCATTTTTCCTGTAATACAATTTAATAGAAACATAAATGTAGGTCACCCACCAACAATCGTGTCTGGTGAGAAACTGGCAATTCAAATATTCCGAATTAAATAACAGAGCAACAGCCTGGACTGCTATTTAGTAACGTAGAGAAATATACTGACCTATATGAATTACTTTTGATATATCCTACACAAAGGCTCACGGGACACTTAGTGTCATCAAAAAAAATTATCGGACTTGCTTGTTCCGTTTCCTTTGCTCGTGTTCCCTTATCTTGGCACTGCTATCAATAAAAATTTCAAAATTTGTAAAGAAGCCTATATTTCACATACACCATAAAAAGGACCACGAAAAGATTAATGGGACCTTCAATTAAGGAATCAGGAAAAGACAGACAGAAAATTGAAGCTTAAAGAAAGATGTATAATATAGATTTCAGGCCAAATGGCTTTGTTCAGTAGGACCTACACAATATCTGGGTAATCCCATTTGTTGCCACACTTTTCAGGAAACTCTGCAAAAATAGCTACTTTGGTTGGCTAAAAAGATAGGAAGAGAAAAGTGAACTTTAAAACACTAAACGTGCTATCACTCTAGCTATGTCTTCTGTGATTTTCCACACAACACTCTGTAAATTTTAGGGTAAAGACTTTGCCGCTTGTACCATATTAAAAAGTTTCTGCTTTGCCAGATCAGTTGGAAGAAATCCCAAACCACAGTCTGGAGCAACAACCAATCGTTCTGCTGGTAAAACAGTCAGTACTTGCTTTAGACGGCTGCGAATCTCCTCGACACTCTCTACTTTGCTGCTAGCAATCTTAACAACACCTAGAACAACCTGAAAATGAAAAAGATATAAAGTAACTTTTCTCTCCATCCAGATCATTTCTACCTACATGCACCTTCAGTTTCTACTGGTTGCAGTAAAATGAACACCCCCATGAGGAAAAAAAGAATAAAATGTTTTTTATAACAACCAGGCTGAAATTTAATGACAAATAAGAACCACACCAGTCCGCCAAAACTGAATAAGTTCTTACTTGAAAGAAAAAAATTGGCTTTCAAAGTTACATGCATGTAACAGTGGCCCACACCAAAGTCTAGGAGCTTGACCATTAAAACTACAGCCAAGAAGGGATTGGAATTTGTAGAGTAAATTAGGCATTCCAGTGGGGATCACTCTAAGAAGGTATTCAATGGAATGGTATACAAATTTCTTGAAACCACACATAAGCAAATCACAGAAATTATAAGTTACAAAAATAAGTCTTAAAATATGTCTCAAGTACTATACACCTCTGAGCAGCCCATGAGACAAACTCATTTCATTTCTGAGTAATATTTTGGTATATTAAAAGAAATAAACTAGTTGTTTTGAATCTTTGTGGAATATACCAAAACAGTTATTCACGCCAACATAGTTGAAAGTGGTGGATATTTACCTTATTGCTTCACAGCTTGGTAAATATCCCACCACCCACTATTCACCTCCATTTCAGTGAATAATTGTTAACTACATAGGTGAAGTTGAGAAAGAGTGAGGAGTTGTCAGAATGGGCGTGACCTTCACTTTAATTTATTAAGAGAAAAGAATGCAACAAGCCACTATACCCCTTAATGCTTGGAGATGCATAAAAATTCTAGAAAAAAAGAGCTGTAGCCCCTCCCCCATTTCCCCTTCCCCCTCTCTAAATGCTGTGGATCTCTTTTTTAATGATTAAACAATGATAATTAATGGTAATTGAACTGAGTGGAGTGTATTTTGGGCCAAAATCATATGCATGATTTCAAAATTAAATGAGTGTGCAGCAGGAGTTTGATTTGAAATTACAAGTATGACTTCAGACCAAAATTGCACAACACAAGGTTCAATCACCACTTCATCACATCCATTTTGAAATCACCCAAATACAGGACTTGGTCAGTTCAAATATTTTATTAATGTAATACTGAGCCAGTTTGAAATTAAATTCATCCATTTTTTGGGAGGAAAAAATAAGAGTTTTGGAAACAAAAGTTGCAAAATTTGCCACATCTTTCATTTTCCTGCAATTTGATCAGTTACTTTAAACAAGCCTTGAAATCTGATTAGTTATTTTTTTTTAGTGTAGCCTCCTCATTGGCTGGGAAAAAGATGCCATTTAAAGCAAAAAATGGTGCGATTTGTGAATAAATTGCACCAATTAGGGCCAATCAGATTACAGGGACCACCAGTGATTTCCAAATGGGTGTAATAAACCCCTTAATTCCCTCAGTCTGACTGTTAATTCTCCCCCCTGGCTGCTACACATTTCCTTGTAAAGTTTGTCATGAGAATTTAATTTGAGATCAACATAACAACTTCTACCTGAAAAGTTAGAGTATTACAGTATGTTTGCTGGGTTATAGATGGATATTATTAGGTAAAGTTACAAGTTAATTTCTTGAGGGAGATGAAGGGTTAGGAACATTTGGTTGGTACCACAAGGTAGCTAAATTTAACATTTCTTAGCTCAATCACTGCTCAACAGATTGATTTAGGTTTTCAAAGAAATGATAAGTGACAGCACTCAATTTATTTGCTATATTACAATACCTTGCTCTTTTTAAAATGCTCAAATAATGATAAATCATTGTGCCTATGAGCATCCTCAATTGAAATCTCATCAAAGCCTGCAGCATCTAGTTTATCAGCCAGTCTCAGGTATCCATCCTTGTCTGCCTTCTTATAGTCATCCTGATCCTATTTGAGAACATAAGAAGAGAATTTACATAACCACCCTAACCCTAAACAACACTATTGTTTGCTCAAAAGCAGAGAAGTACTTTATTATCTCAATCAAAATATTGCACCCTATTTTAAAGTCAGCCTCATACAAATGTCTGGGCAAAACTGCTGGTTCAAAATAATGGGTGCTTGATGCAAAAATAATTTGAAATTCTGGCTCCACATTGATCATGTTCCAATCTTTTTGCTTCATTTATTGCAAATCGTGATTTTAAAATACACTATAAATGCTTCATGTCAATAATATTGGCGAGAATCATCTGTGGAGGAGACATGGCAACAGTTTTGTTAAGTTCAGATGAAAGGAAAGTTGCGCAGTCTTGCCCATCGACCCATAGGTCTGGTAGGATGGGTGAAAAAAGTCAAACAGATAAAAAATGGCTAAAAAGCACACTCTAGGCTTGAATTCAATACCTTGCTTAGAAGGCTATATTTTAAATGAAGGCTGTGGGAGTTTTTTAACTCAATAAAATATGGTCACTAAACAAATATTAAATAAACAAATCACTAACAAAACAGCTGTGTTAATTTTTTTCATATCAATTGAGAAAAAGACTAATTTAATTGTCAACAGATCTCCCATAATTGTTTCTTTGGGCTCAAAACCCATATCCAGCACAAATAATTTACCTAAAACTTAAAAACCAGTTTTTTAAAAACTTGACCACAAATAAACCTAAGACTATTTTCAAGACATTTCAAAAGAAATTATAAACCTAACCCTCCCTCAAAACTTTGCTGTTAGCAATAATACTTACCCAAATTTATTTCCTAGAAGAACAAACAACAGACCTCTTTCATAATGTGGGATGTGATAATCATTGTTTCCTCTCATGCAAATTAGCCTTTTTGGCTGCACTTTTGAGTGAAAATCCCATTTTTGTAAACATGATGTTAAGACTACAGAGATTAATTTACATGAATATAAAAGAATAGAAAAAAGACTTGTCTTTTATGAAAGAGTAATGGGGGTGAGTTTCTAAACAAACCATGGTGTTAAGTCAGTGGTAGGTATCACAAGATTGGTTTTATCAGCTGACATTTTGAGTGTTAGTTCTTCATCTTTTGCACTGAAAAGGGCTAATGATAAAAAACTCAGCTTTTGAAACTCTTTACGGAGGCTAATTTACATCAACACCTCAGTTGATAATACAAATTGGTGGTTTTCACTGCTATGCAATCAAAATCTAAATCAAAACTGTTGAATGCCTGACACCAAGAGAGTAAGCTATTGCAGAATATTTATAAAAAAACTATTTACCCAAGTTCAGGTCTGTAGGGTTTTCCGTAGTTCGAAATGACTCTAATTTTACATTGGAGAACCCCACTACACTGAAACCTTTCCAAAAGGTTAATTTTACAAGATCTTTCATCTTTTGGAGGTTAAACTGTTATAGCCGTTGTTTTTTTGGATTTTGGATTTTTCTGACCTCACATGAAAACCAAGGATTTATAAAAGAGGTCTATCATACCCACCAAGTAGGTTGGATAACCGCAACACAAATGAACAGCCTTGACTACATCAGGAGATGTAACTCCGTCAAAACAAGTTGAAAGTTGATCAATTCCATAATCCAAAGCCTCATCAGGAAATCGCATTAACACTGGTTCATCAACCTATCGGCATAACAATGAAAACACATTACATGGTAAACAGAAAGGCAAAGGAGAGAAGTGTTCTTTCAGAAGAGAGTTGGCCAGACTCAAATACCACAAGGGCTCTTACATGTTATTATAGATCTTAAGTCACTACATGCACTTAATGACTGGCCGCTAGGGAAACACTGACGTTTATCTCCCTAGATCCTAACTTTTCCTCTAGGTGAAGCTGGAGGATTGGTAAACAACATTGACAAAAAGAGTGTTGTTATACCTCCCTACTCTAATACATTTTCCCATTGGAGGAGAATCAAAAGTCATGAATTCCTACAACAAAACAAAAACTCGCAAACTCCCTAAAGAAACAAGAACTTGAACTCCCGACCTGCCCATTATCGGGTCATGCACCTTATAACTGAAGCAAATTGAGTGTCAGCCTATGCTCAAGAAAATATTTTCATGACAGCAAAAAGTGTTCAAACAAGAACTGAAGAGGAAATTCTACAGCTTTTTCAGTAAAAAAGGTCAAAACCACAATGCAGTGAAAACCACAATAAACACCAAAACTGAAAAAACCAAAGAGTTATGGCAATAAAACCCAAAAAGTGATCTAAAAAATTGCCACAATCACAAAACTGAAAATCCCAATACCATCTCTATTATTAATGGGTCATTTTTATTGTGTTTTGTTATTGATAGGGTCAGACTGTGAAATTTTTGCATCATGCTTTTGAGTGTAACCCATGAATATCATGCCTCAATTTGATGATTCAAAATGATAGTTTTTCAAAACCCTTCAGCTGGGAGGCATAAAAAACATATCCTGACTGGTCCCACACAAAACAATGAGGATCTCCTAGGAGCAAAACTTTCAGTTTCCCTTGGGGGCAGTCATATATAGCTTATTAATTTAATTTATAATTTGGTATTATCAACAGAGTTGATATCATAAATTGACCACCGCTAAGATTTTCAAAGCTGACATTTCAACCACAAGTCCTTCGTCAGAACTTATTGATTTATAGTGGTAACTGAACTTAGTGAAGTGCAATTTGGGCTGAAATCATACACGTGATTTCAAAATCAAATAATCGAAAACAGTTGCAAAATTTGCCACATAAGACTCTTTGGCTTTTATTTTCCTGCAATTTGATTGGTTACCTTGATTAGTTGTTTTGTTTTTAGTGTAGCCTCATTGGATGGGAAAAAGATGTGATCTAAAGCAAAAAATGGTGGGATTCGTGAATAAATCGCACCAGTTAGAGCCAATCAGATTACAGGGACCACCAGTTATTTCAAAATGGTTGTAATAAAGTTTATAATCGATTATTCAAATTTAAATCCCAAGTATGGTGTGCCTGACTTCCTAAATAAGAGATTCCGTCGTAAATTAACACGACCCAACAACTAAACGCGGATTAGTATACCGGTTTCGACCTACGGTAAGCTTATGACATACCTGAATAACCTTACAGCCAACCGATACAAGAGCTTTAATTTCTCTGTTTAAAATTTTTGTCAACACAGCACCTAGAACCTTTTGATCCTTGTAGTATTGATCGACGACTGTGTGCGCAATTGTCATGGGTCCCGGAAGAGTAATTTTCACAGGAAGTTTGGATAAAACCTGTGAACTCTTCCATTCTTTCCAAACCCAACCTTCATTTTCCTGCGCTGATACCTCTCCCACAATTTGTGGCAATAGAATTGTTGCAGCGTCGTCGCGAATCGACGTCAGACATAAACTTTTGAAATCAAAGCCATTCAGCTTTCTACAAAAGTAATGGATGTAGTTTTCACGCCGCACTTCCCCATCTGTTATCACATCAAGACCGGCTTTGCTCTGTATTTCAATCACTTCTCGAATAGCTCTGATAAACAATTCTTCTATGTCGGTGGATGAAAAACTCTGCAAAAAGCGATTGTACTCCCTTGGGAAATTTTCGGCGTACGCTGGCTGGAACCAGTCCGGTATCTGTAGGTAAGAAGGCTTCCGAAAACTGCCAATAACTGTAGTTGAAAGGGGCATCAGAAACGCTGATCGTCGGAAAATCGTAAGATTGTTAAGCGCCTAGTTAAGCGCCAAAGCGATGAAACTATGCGCGGCTAGCCCAGTCCCCTGAGGATTCTTCCTCTCCCTAGCTCCTTTCCCTATCACTCCATTCCAGGTAAACCCCTTCCCCGCTTAGCATTACGTCATGCATGCAGACACAATCAATGTCAGATAAGTTAAGCTTACATAATTTTGGGCATAATGTTGCAGTCAAGATATCGAACATATTGCCGGCGTAACGACCAAACTTCTAAGAAATTCCCATGATGTCCCAGTTTAACAAAGGATAAATTCTGTAGCTAGCCTAAGTACTGTCAACAGTGAGCCTGCCTTTCGCTTGCACCATTGGAAACCCAAGCTTTGTATGGGAGTTAAGGCTCCTCACTGTAACTCCGTTAATAATGAAGCAAATAAACTTTGAGCTTGATATAGGGTTGTTTGTGTTATTTTTGTTCACTGGTAGCGATTTCAGGCTATTTCGTCGAGTTTTAGCCGAGCTCTCATCCCACTACTGCCTGTACACTATAAGTCCAGAGGCCAGGACCGGAAAATTGATGGCTTGTGGACTACAACAAAATTTAACAGGCCGATGATGGGAAATGGCGTGAGGGGGGTAGAGGTTGAAGGGTTCTGAAAAACTGTTAATTTGAATTATCAAATTGAGGCATAATATTCAGGGAACGCTGAAATTTTGCGAGCATAATTCATCCGACCCTATCACAACACACTGTCACGACTCATATTGCAGGTCACAACAGTAAAACTTGCCTAACACCGCGTCTTCCCCAACCTTAACCATTATTCTTACCTTTAATAAATTGAAATCCCTATTGCACGAACTACTCAATTACCTGAATACATCTACATCCAGCGGAAACAAGAGCCTTGATCTCACTGTTTATTATCTCTGCCAAAACTTTCCCTAGCGCCCTGTCATCATTGTAATACTGATCCTCGGTGGAGTTTATTATTGTCATCGGTCCCGGTATAGTAATTTTCATGGGCAACGGAGACAAATCTTGAGAAAATTTCCACTCTTTCCATACCCACGCTTCGCTTTCTCGCGGTGTCACCCGGCCAATGATACGGGGAACGTCCGTGACACAAGCACCATCGCGACAGTTTTTAGAAAACAAATTGTGGAAGTCTAACCCTTTTAGCGCCCGACAGAAGTGCAAGATGTAAGATTCTCTCCGTAACTCACCGTCACTGATCACATCAATGCCAGCTTCGGCTTGGATATCAATTATATCTTTTGTAGCTCTCTTGATCAGGTCTTCTGTTTCTTCCTTGGATGAGGTTTCGAGGAAGCGATTGTAATCCTCGGTGAATGTTCCACTGTGGGAGGTTTGGAACCAGTCTGGAATGTGCAGATAGGAAGGCTTTGGAAAACAACCGACTACTGTGGAAGAAAGAGGCATCTTTCTTTCTGTTCCAGAATTAATGTATTAAAAATCGATACTTCGCTTGAAAAAGACCATACAACACGGAGATTGACTGTCACGCAGTCTGTCACGCACGGTCACTCAACAGCTCACTAGCTCTTGCTTTACATGGACAAGCCTCTGGATCATTCTCTTTTAGCAAAGCTCGTCGCTTTCATGAGAAAAAAATGTCAATGAAATTTTTAACGCTCAGAGAAGTATATTTGAGTTGTGTTGACGAGAAATGAACGTTTTGCATTATTCTCACCAAGAGGAGAAATGGTCATCATTATTACTTCTTGCTCTCAATAATTTCTCATAATAATTTTTAAATTTTGGTCGCAATTTTCATTGAAGAATGGTCATGGTGTCTTGAAAATAATCTGAACGGTGAGAGTCTGGTAAGAACTGTCATTGGTTTTCATTTTTTTAGTAGAAACAGGTGTTAGATATGAAAGCAACAGATTTTAATTTTATCTTTTCCAATCTGAGAAATGTCCACTCAGAATGGAAAGAGTGTTTCCCTCTCTCTTTTTTTCTTTTTTCTTAACGGCCGATATTATAAACTCAGTGGAGATGAGAAACGTTAAAAGTTACTTGGAGGTAGTAGCGTTTTATGGTTGGGGTGTTGTCACATCGTAGGAGGAGGAGAGAGGGAACTTCCCATAATAGAGTGCATGGGGATGTCCATCCAAAAAGGGTATTTTTGTTATGAAGTATAAATGCAAGGGAGCCTAGTTATTAACCAAAACACTTCTTGTTTATCCTCTTCCTCTCTCCTTTACATACCAGGTTATGGTAGTGTAAGGGTCTGGATCTGTGGGCAGAGCTTCCTGGTCAAAAATTGATCAAGTATCTTTAGGACTCCATACACTTTTTGTATCATTCATACTAATTAAGGGGCACCTTTGCTACTACAAACATGGTGGTTAGAGAGCAAGAACAGGAAATAAAGCCTCCTGCTCTGTCTTTTTTGGTCTTCAATAGCATTCACAATTAAGATGGTGGAATTGCAGGCAACGAAGGATTTTGGAAAGCAAAAGTTTTAAATCATTTCACTCTTATGATTAATCTTCATTACTCAAAAAAGTTTTCAAGCTGCACATGCTTACTACTTGTGAGATTAAAGATCTTCCAAATTACACTCCTGCCCCTGAATCATGAAACACAGGAACAGTTTATGTGTTTTCCTCAACATGAACATACATCATGCCCAAATTTGTGAGGTAATTAGCATTTAAATACAACATACAACCCTAGCTCAGACTATTCACAGTTTTATTTTTCCTTGGAACCAGCACACTGGCAAAAGAGAGCAAAACAACAACACGAAAAAAAACAACAGAAGAAAACAGGGAAAATGGCAACACAAAATAAGATCATGTTTTTTAACAAGGCCACCCTTCAAAAAATGAATTGTGATTACAAGTTTAATAATTCTGAGTTTTAAGGAAGTAGTAAAAATAATTGTTAAGTGATCTGTGAATGCATTGTAATAATCCCTGTTAAAAAAAAAAAAACACCCAACAACAACAACAACAACATAACAACAACATACGATGAGAACATTTGTATAAAATCATCTCTCTGAATTAATATAAGTTGCTTTTAATTTCTGGGTATGCAAATGCAAACAATGCAGTTTGCAAAAGTATTTCTTGTTGATGGAAGATAATTCTCTTTAGTTTATAATATGTTCCCGTGTTATAGGTGACAGGACTGTCAAACTAAATGGACAACTGGCGCATTTCACCATCTGTTCTGAGAAATGTGCCCATTTTTGTGAATGTTTGTAGCTCAATTTCAGTACAGTAGCATGACATTGATGGAAATAAAACTGTTTAGTGCTGCCTACTTTGTTTCAGGGTCCAGTTTATAACTCAATATTTTTATTAACAACCTTGTAAGATGTGGTGGATATTCTACTCCTTTACACATTCTACTGGGAATTTAAAGAAGCTCTTTCAAATAAATTAATTTATAACTTAAAATAATTGTACTGCATTCAGTGGTGTACTTGCATCAGTACTTTTAAAAACACCCAACAATAAGTATCCTTATGTAAAGGAATTCTCTCTCTCAAGTCCTTATAAAATTATTCTTGTATTTACACAAAATATTGCAGACATGTGTAGTCTTTAAATGCCAACTATATATTACAGTTAATTATAAGGCTATGACATGCTTTCAACATGATGTGGCAGAAACACAATGTCCTACATGATAATTACATGCCTGTGGGAGCACCAGGGATCTCCTTAAGTGCACTATCACATGACATAAGTCTCTTGTGAAGTCTTTCAACTTCAGCGTCACACCGTTTCCTTTTCAGTTTGAGGGAAGAAACCTCCAGTTTCATCCTTTCAATTTCTTTCAGTTTGGTGTTGACCTGTGCATCAATTTCTTTCAAGTAAAATAAATTTGAGTGTTAATTACAAGAACAACAAAGATTTGATCTCAAACAAAACTGCAGAAACACTTTGTGTCATGAGTGCAACATATCTCTGGTAAAAACAATTTTGGTAACTTGCCCCTCACTACTCCTAACAGTACATGTGGTATTGTGTACAGAATGACCTTAATACTACATGTGCAAGTTGTAACTCCTTATCAACCCACAATGACCAAAGCAAGCAAAAGGGAGGAAAAACATGTTTGAAGAAACTTAAGTGTTTTGTTATTCTGAAAGCCTGATTTTGCCTGAACAATTATCCTTCTGCAACGTTAGTGGCTCCAATTACTCAGCTAAAGTATAGTTACCCACCTAGTACATAGTCATGGCTTGTCACCAAAATTGCTAAATATACTCTGTATAGTGACCTATGGGAACAACATTGCCCTAAAGTTACAGTTTGGAAAATTTGAAAGGCCAGCAAACCTACCTTTGGCTTGAGATTGTATTTTTCGCAGGTTTCCTTCATCCCTACTGCGAGCCCTTGCCAGTAAAGCAGAAACATCATGCAGCAAGCCAGCTTCTCCAAGGTGCTTCAGCAGTGGTGAGTTGCCCAAAAATTCTGGGAACCAAAAAAGAAAAAAGTCAGATACACTTTCTAAAGGTTTTTAAGAAATCTGTTGAAATTAAAATTAGCATATGTCTTTTTTAATGACAGTGTACTGTGCAACAAGAATGGATTTCTTTTCAAAGCCTTTTAAGATAAATTGTCCACAGATTTTCAAAACCAGTGGATTTTTAACATTGAGTTTTCAGTACAGTTGCTGTTGGTCAGAAAACCACCCAAGAGAAAGTCACTTCATTAGATATAGTTCCACATGGGCTGATTCTACAAGAGCCCTTTAACCAGTGAGTAAAAAGGGCCTCCACTGAATGCAAAAAAAAGAGGTAATGCTATGATGAATCTAACTTGAGTGAATGAAATTCAAATGGATGTGACTAAGAACATCAAGCCCTTTTTGCTTGTACAGAGAATTCCATGAGTTGTAGTTTAAGAAAACTCAGTCTGAAAATACCACTAAACTGAGATTATAAAAGTCTAAAATTCAAACAAACAATGTCTCATAAATTTTTAGAAAAATGTTATTTCATGAAGTCTGCTTACTCACTAAACTAATATTATACATGAGTTGGGGCCAAAACTGATTTCAACAGGCCACACAGAATGTTGTTACACAAGGTTAGTTGGACTTAAACCCTGCTAAAAGTCACTTAAACTCACCAGAACATGATGCACTGGATGAAGCTTGCTCTTCCTGTAACTGTTGTATTTGCTGCAAAAAAGGGAAACACCTATTAAACAGATGCAGATTAGACCAGAATTAAGTTTTGTAATCCATGCATTGATCACAAAAGCAATTTATTAATTGACAAAACAATACTGAGATTCACCCACTGAAAAGGCTTTTGCAAGCTGATAGA